CCGACCGGGATAAGATGGGATGGGATGGGATGGGATGATATATAGCGGAGTATCAAGATCCATACATAGCTTGTCTGTGTAGGGCTTTCGGAACCGAAATCATGACAACGGTTATTATGTATATTTGGATGGTATATGCAAGAGTGCGTGAGGTGCAGGAACCCAAGTCGGCGAGTCCGGAGTTGCTGTCATGGAGATTGTGAGGGTCAGCAGCGTGCTTGTCTTGGATATTGCAGGGTTTGGAATCTAAAGATTGCCAGGTCGTTTGATTCAGGCCGTCCAGGCCTATTATGTATATCAAGTGCACCCTCCGTACTTCAGTGCCCTACCTACCTAAAGCTAGGTACTCAAGAAGGCAGGTCCTCAAGTCTGCGACCCCAGCGAGGAGCTATTCGCCTTTAATTTCAACCCTCGTCCCCAGTTACGCGCGTCCCAAGCAAGGTTGAAAGTCCCACTCAGAACGGCGACCGGCTGTCGGTGGCCAAAGCCAGGCAGCCTTGCGGCAATAATCAGACTGCTACAGAGTACTACGGAGGGAGCACGAAGTACCGCATGTATTTTCCTTAGGTGCTCTCTTATACCGTGTCTGGGACGGCATTGTACCGACACCAGTAGTACTATTTTGCGGGAAGCAGATGGATCAACAAGGAGAGCGGTGCAGGCTAAACCAAGCCAAGCAGAATCGGCGCAAATGACATGACATTGCATCGCATGACAGGGGTGGGAGCCATCGAACAAGCATTTTTAAGATGAGTATTGCGGTGCAATACAGGTCCACATATGCTTCTGGAACAACACGGGTCGACGGGCGCTCCGTAGTAGTATTTGGATTTCGGGCAAGATTGTAACACGTATATTATTACGAGATCGTAGGAAATCACGCCCGACTACCACCCCTGCTTGTCGCGTGGCACGCGAGAGCGGAGCTGGGCTTGCAGGAGTTGGCCGATCTATGAGGGTCAAATGGCCTCTTGGTCGTCGATAGCAAACGTTTATAGGTGGGAGGATCGGTCTACTTTCGTCGACGGCCGCGGCTGTGGGCTAGGTCGCGGTTGTTGTGTCGGGGAGTTCTGCCTCAACGGGAAAGGAATTTGCTGACACGTCGCGAGCAAAGCTGGCTGAAGAGGGGGCTGGCTTTTGTTGGTTGTTAGATGTGTGCTTCTGCATGCGTAGCATGTGTGGCCTGATTTGTTAGGTGTTGCGAGGGAGCGAGCGAGATAAGGAAGGAAGGAACGAAGGAGGGAGCGAACGGAGTTGAAGGTTCTCAACCTTGAGGCGGTCATGGACGGAATGTGTCTGTCTTGCTGCATGGTGCAAGATTGACGGTGAGTGGACTGGCGAGAATCGGCTTTGACCCCGTTTTGCATGGACGTTGGACCATCTCCATTCCGATGTGGATTGATGGCATGGCATGGCAAGGTATGGCATGGTATGGGACCTAACGTAATATTATAACACGGCAATTCAGTCCAACTGATTCACCCATGCAGACACAAGTCCACTCGACAGGCACATCTCGAGGACACCAAGGCCGCACCAAGGGCACACTCTTGAGTCTTGACGACGACGACGACACACACCTTGACCCCGGTCTCCATTAAAGCATCAAAGGGCTCGCCATGCATCATCGTTACCTCCGCCAGGCCACCCTGCCATGCGCCATGCTCCCGTCATGCTCATGCAAACATAGTGTCGTGATGCTCGCCCATTCATGAGAGCTTGAAACGGATCGTGGTCGTCGCCCGTTTCCCTTTTTAATCTCCTCATTCGTCACCTCCGACGCACCCCCATGTCGGTCTGCACATCACACGCACGCATACGCACAGCACACTTCTTGTTACTCACTCACACTCACACACGCAGGCACACGCACACGGACGCAGATTTTCTCGTTGCGTTGGCTGCGACTCCGCAAAGAACCGAACGAGTACACCCGGAGTAGCCAGGTTTCCAGGTACTCTGCTCCCCCAGCAGTCGGTACTTTGTATTTTGGCCAAGATTTGATTCGAATTCGAATTGCAACAAGAATAATCCTGATCCTGGTCGCTCATCCCGTTCGGCTGTGTTGTAAAGTTGTTGGGCTTGCAAGGTGCTCCGCGCCTTCATCTTATATTTTGTCCGTCGTTGGATGACGCCTATGGTTATTTATGCTTTTCTCGGCCTGCCGGCGGTATCAAACAGTACCCATCTAATTAATTCTGCGCACCGAGGACCAGCACCTTAATCCGTCATCCCCCTCTCTCCACGATTCACAGCAATTCGTCTTCAATCCCTCTTGTTCACCTCTCTCTGCGACCTTTTTTTCTCCTTTTTTTCTTACCTCTCTCAAAAGTGGCTGGCCATTCATTTGGTCGTCGCATCGACCACATTTCGCTCCGCAAGCACGGACATGCTCGTATCATTATCCGATTATTCCGACCACCTTCCTTTCGGTATCAAACATCCTTGCTGCGCCTGGCAATTATTGAGCTCTGCCGAATAAATTACATTTGAACTGCACTCAGGCCCGGAATTTGATCCTGCCCGACGGTGTACCACGTTGCGAAATAGGTGTGCCGTGGAGGCCACGACTCGAGACATTGCTCATTATTTTGGCACTTACAATTTACTCGCAAAAACGGCAATTCTCGTCTGTGACTGGTGGGTTTGACCTTCTTTTCTCGGTAGCCTAATCATACTGAGCGCACATTTGTAATCTTTGCTCCCTAGGTTTCTCTTCTTTCTTTTTTATTTTCCTTCTTTTTCTAAAAGAAAAAACCCCTCGACAACTGGGGCCTACAAGATTTGGGGTCAATGCACGAGAGGCTGCACGGCCGAGACATAAAGGGATATTCGGAAACGGCGCCATTTCGCAAAGGATATATAGAACAAACGAATTCTAGTCCTGGATCGAAAAACATCTCTCGGGCCCGGCCTGGGACCGCCGGGGATCCCTCTGACGTACCATCACCTCACCGCCCCGGGTCTATCATCATGAACGACGACGATTCCACCTTTGGAGAGGCCCCATCCAATGCGAGTACTTCTATACGAAGCTCCATTACGAGGTACGAATGGAAACACGGCCGTCGATATCATGCCTACCAGTCTGGTACGTATCCGTTTCCCAACGATGAGCGGGAACAAGATCGTCTGGATATGCTACACCACGCCACCACACGACTGCTCGACGATCGGCTCTTCCTGGCACCCATTCAGCCTGATGGCATGAGAATCCTGGATATTGGTACAGGAACAGGCCTGTGGCCCATCCAAATGGGCGATTTATACCCTGGAGCGAGCATAACGGGCAACGACCTCAGTCCTATTCAGCCCACTTGGGTACCCACAAATGTCAACTTTCTCGTAGACGATGTCGAGTTGGACTGGATCGAGACCAACACATACGACTACATTCACTGTCGGTCCATGTCTGCCTCGATAAAAGACTGGCCACGACTGATTCGTCAAATACACGATGCCTTGAAGCCCGGTGGGTGGGTGGAATTCCAAGAATTTTCAACGACATTCAGCTCAGACGGCGGCTTGATGGGCGTAGACCATCCTACTCACGCATTTGTGCAACTCAGTCTCACGTTAAAAGAGGCGTGTAGAAAAACGGGGAGAGTGCTTGATCCAACGCCGTGCTTGAAACGCTGGAGCAGCGAAGGAGGGTTCAATACCATTGAGCAGCACGTCTTCAAAGCACCCATCGGCAATTGGCCCAAGGGTCAGCGGAGCAAAGAAATCGGTGCAATGATGGGCGTCGGCCTGTCTGATGGAGTGGACGGCATGACGGCAGTGTTGGTGAGGGATGTGCTGGGTTGGTCGGCAGACGAGGTAGAGGTACTGAATGCCAAGGTGCGGAGCGCAACGCGCAGCGATCCAAAGGTCATGGTTGATTACGTCATTGTTCTGGCGCAAAAGGATAAATGACCAGGGCGGCGGCTGCGAGATGCTGATTTTGTGTTTCTGTCTCCCTTTTTCTTGTTTTTTTCCTTTTTTTATTTAAAGCGTGGCGTTGTGGGCATAGCGACTTGGTTCGAATTTGGTGGGTTTAGCTGGTAACCTTATGAGCATTAGTGGGCATGGGAGGGGATTCTAGATTTCTACATGGCCGAGGTCCTTGGATCAGTTCAAGCGGCTGTTTTCATGCGGAATGGAGCGATGTGGAGGAGGCAGCACACCTAAGGCGTGGATGAAGGTGTTGGGCTCTATACCCCTGCGTCAGCAATGGTGGTGTCCTGAGAGCCTGAGAAGTACATTTGAGTTTAAAATCAAGCCACACGGTTGGGTGCCAAAATATATGGCCGAGCTTCCACAAGATGTCGCTGGCAACCTTGGGCTGGATATAACGTGTTGCGATGTGTAAGTGAGCACCATATCCATGGCCGACATGTGAACGGCTTCCAACCATGACGTCGGGTCATAATACAAGGTACTAGCTAGTCCTCACAATAGAAATACAAATCAATCTTGTCACATACAAGTCCCGCCGCAACCGCCGCCTAGTTCCGTATCCCGTAGGCTTCGTAGATGGACAGACTGCCCCTGTACAACCAAAGAAAAGACGGCGGTCTCATAGAAGGCCACAAAGAGGGGGAACCTCGAGGCATCCATTCTCTCTCAAACCCCCAAGTTTCGGCATGGCAGGCCGCGTTGTCAGTCCAGGTGACGGAGGAGCTCGGAGCAGTGGCACATTTGTACAGGTAGACGGCACCCGTCCCGGGGACGCGGACGAGGCAACAGGTTTACACTAGAGATTGAGGCCTACGCGAAACGGGGAGGGATTGTCACGCATATGGCGGGCTGGTAGATCGCGGACGGACCACGTAGATTTCTTCCATCATGATTCTTTCTGGTGCCGAATACCAATCGAAGCACATCTTTACCGGATATCAAAAAGAGGCACCCCTTCCTGAGTAAAACGCCAGCCATTGCCAATAGCAAATTAACCCAGAACGGAAAAAAAAAAATTAAACGCCCTCCCGCTCCCAAAAATTCATCATCATGTCTGGCAACTACCCGAATGTTCCCTTGCCCAAGATGCCGCCGACCATGCCTATTCTGCCCTTGGCACCCTTCACGCGCCTTTCCTGCCTCCGCCTCTCGCTCTCCTGCACTTTGGCTCGCTGCTCGTTCTCCCTCGCGAAGCCGCCGATGCCGCTCTTCTTCCCCGCGCCCTTCCTGATCTTGGCGTCGTCGCCGAATCCTCCAGCGCTGCTCATGGCGGAACTCCCCGACGACCCGGACATGAGGGTTGAGTTGGTGGTGGCTCGTCGTAGCAGCGCGGGGACCTTGAAGGACGACGACGTCTGTGTGGTGAAAGCCATGCGAACGGCGGAGCCCGTGCTCGAGGCGTTGCGCTTGAGACTGATTCGATCTACGACGGGCTGGTTCTCCTTGTTGCTGTGTGATGAGTCGTGGCCGCCGTCGTCTTCTTCGCTGTCGGAACCAACTTCTGTCGCGGGGATCATGGATCCGTCTGGCTCGTCGAGGAGGTTGGACAGCGTTTCGCGCACTTCTCCTATATCGGAGGGCCTCTTGCCATTCTTTGTTCTGCGCATGCTTGCTGGTGCTCTGGTGTTGTCTGCTGCCGAAGAAAGTGGCTGTGGTTGTGTAGGCTGGCTGTCAGGGATAGTGGCAGGGTGCTGAGCTTGCTCCTGGGTGTCGTTTTGAGACTCAGAGTCCGCTTGTGACGGCGTGTCGAGAGCGCCCAGGAAATCAATCTCATCGTCACTGTCGCGGTCCTCAATGGTTCGCAAGAACGCTTGGTTTCCGGGGTTTTCGGCAATCTTCTTGACACGCTCGTCTGCAAAGAGAGCCTTCTGCATCTTGGCAAACTGTCGGCGCTTCATGCGTTTGCGAGCCTCACCATCGGAGTCCGAGTCAGAGAGGTCAAATCCCCCCCCGCGCTTGCGACGGAGCATGCCGGTGGTGATGTCCTTGAAGAGCCTTTCGACCTGCTGTTCGTCGTTGGCCCGTTCACGATCACTGGGCTCAAGTTAGCTTCTATCATCTACAACGTGGTTAAGGGGTAAGAAAGGCACTCCAACTTACGCATAAAACGCAGCTATCTTCCGCTCATCGTTGTCGTTGCCAGCCGTGTCGTCAATCATCTCCTCCACCGAACCGTTGGACTCATTGTCGCTATCCTCGCCGTCCATGCCACCCAGACCAGCGTATTCATCCTCTGATTCTTCGGCCTGCTCCTCAACCATTTCTTTAGCCTTGCTCTTCTTACGATCGAAATCGTCGGCAAGGCGAAGCCTCTTCTCTTTTTTGGCTGCATCCTGCATAGCTTGGAAGGCGTTGCCTCGAACGCTGGATGCGCTGGGCTCACTGGCCTCAGGGATGGCAGTCTCGGCGATGGACATGTCCATTCTTCGCCGAAGCCGGCCTCTGCGAACGACCGGTGACTCCTGGGGCATGTCCTCGTCATGCTTGTCGGCAATCATGGTCTCAACCGTTGAGAAGGGAGGATCTACGAATCTGTCTCGGAGAGGGGTATGTTGTTGCAAACCCGCATCCTGGGATAGCTCCAGTGTCTCAGACAGCTGAGTCTGCATTCCGTTGGCAACCAGCGTTCCCAGACCATGCATCTGAGACTGTGAGAGATTGAGCTGCACCCCTTGAGTCTCCTCTTGTTGAGAATCAACAATCATTTCTTCAATGGGCTCGTCCATGGTGGCTGAAAAGTTGGAATCGGGGAAGTGGTCGAAATCCGGCATCATAGACTGCGTTGGCTTGGCGGCACAATCGCTCATTTGGCTGTCCATGGTGCCGGCAAAGATCTGTGTGAGTCCCAACCCAGCAGGCCCCTGAACAGGCAGTCCAGGAATAAATGTCTTTTTCGCAGATCGTAGAACTGAGCCGGGAGCGACAGGAGATATGGTGCCTGCACCCGCGGGTGTCATCTGGGTAGTAACCTTTACGGGTTTGGGTGTAGCTTCCACTTCATCTTCATCATCTGAAAGCACTAGAATGGCCTTGTTTCGAACCCTTCCTTGTCTCCTCGCGGCTGGTTGCTCCATGTCATCCACATCAGCCTCGTCTTGGGCAGCAGTCTCAGCTTCAGATGCGGCGGAATCATCAGCCTCCTCCTGAAATAGAGCATTTTCGGCGCCCTCATCTTCCTCCGTTCCGTCGGCCTCTGCCTCATCCTCAGACCCGGAGATTTCCACCTCTGATGCCTCCGCATCCGCGTCCTCGGCCGCATCTTGGTATTCTTCGTCGTCACTGTCATCCCAAGCAAGAGGATCAACTTCGCCATTCTCCTTCTGTTGTCGCTTAGCCTCGCTTCTCTCCTCCTCCATGAGCTTCTGGGCCTCTTGTCTAGCCTTGGCCACAATGTCCTCGACTTCTTGCTCTTGTCTTTCGCGCTCTTCAGCGGTCTGGATGACAATTCCTTGTCCCTTGAGAAGCTCCAGGCGGCGATCGCGCTCCAATTTGGCCTGCTGGCGGGCTTTGAGTTGCAAATGAGCCTGAAGCTCACCAGGGGTCATCCTGGACTGGTCTTTCTTGCCGCCCTTCTCCTTGCCAGGTGACTTCACCTGTGCCAGAGCACGGAAAATGTGTAGTGGTTGTGTCTCGCATGACCTCTTGGAAGGAATGTTTGCAAACAGCGCATCAACCTTGTCCTTGGCCGAGGTCGTAATCTGGAGATCGTCGTCCGTGTCGACTGCAACTGCGTTTGTGGGCACGGCAGGCAGCCGAACCCGTACTCTTCGCTTTGGCTTTGGCTGTGGACCAGCATCTGCACTTGCCGTTGTGAGGCTCGCTGCCTTGGCGGCGGCTCCTGGTTGAGCTGCAACCTCAATGTTTTCTGTTGGAACAGCAGTGTCCTCATTGACAAGCCGACCACCATCCTGCTTATCCAGAGGTGGAGAGCTAGGAGGTGTATCCGCATCTCCCATCTCAACATCAGACTGCGGTGTCGTGGGACGGCTGGAGCTGTTGGCAGCAGGTAATGTGGTTTCGCCCCCACTAACAGGCTTGTAATTGAACCGCTCGAAAAGGCTGGCCTTAGAGATCTTCTTCTTCGTCTTGGCCTCATGAGCAAGCTGCATGCTTCTGGCCATCCGCTGCGTCTCCCGGTTCATTTCCTCAATCGCCTTCTTGCTCGCTTTCCTTGTTGGGCGAACTTCTTGGGTGAGTCGTCTGCCGCCTTCGTCGTCGGTGATGCCGTCGACATCATCATCCGAAACGAGCTGCTCCAGCTCGGAGGCAAGATGTTCTTGCTGAGCTCGTTTCTCAGCCCTGCGGGCCTCCTCGGCGGCTTCGCGTGCAATACGTTCTTGTCTCTTTCGTTCGACGAGAGCCTTGAAACGATCTGATTTCAGCGGTGGCAAATCGTTATCCGAATCCTCTCCCCCGGCAGGGCTTTTTGCTGGGGAAGGACGCTTTGGAGAAGAGACAAACAATCCGGGGCTATGAGACCGGGGAGCTCTCTCTGCAGCATCAGATTCATCATCAATGGGAGCTCGACGCTTCAACCGCCTCGGAGCTGTGGGAAGCTCGTCGTCGTCGTCATCGTGGGCCGAATTCTCTTGCTGTTCCGCCTGGTCGCGTTGCAGCATCCTCCTCACGCGTTCTCTTGCCGTCTCTGGGACCGAAGGGCTCTGAGAAGCGCTCTTTGTATTTGCCGAACCACCCTGCATCCGTGACGCGAGCTTCCCTCTCGGTCGAACGGCAACGTCCGACTCGTCAGACTCATCGTCATTTTGTGCCGATCGAGGGCTACTGTGTATCTTGCGAGGCAATTGAGAAACAAGAGACGATTTTGACTTGTTGCCGCCAGTCTGTGGTGCTTCGTCGTCACTGCTCTGCACCGTTGCCAGCAGAGCTCTTATTTTGGACCGCGGTGTCAACGGCTCCGGCGAGCCACCGCGTGATGCGGGAGAGGAATCTCGTGGAGGCGCCATCGACGGCGGTGAATGGCTGGAAATGTTGTTGACTTGCGTGATAATCCAAAAACTGTACTAAATCATCGAAAACGAAAAAGATTGACAAAAGTATTGACTGCTGAAGGCGTAGGCTAGAAATTCTGTTGGACGTGTGTAAAATACGGAGCGGACGGACAACAAGCTCAAGAGGTTGCTGCGTCTAAGTGGAATAATGGGTGGTGGGGAGCTCGCGGACGCGCGACGCGATTTTGGTGGCGCGCTGTTGCGGGCCATCCCGCGTCATTTTTTTAATTATCTGCAATGACACAAACCGCATTGTCCAACACGCGCAATTGTGCACATGCCAGACGTCCACATGTCGTATTAAACGCAGTTCTCATCCTCGACCGAGACAAATACCAAATGCATCGCTATTAGACTATTACGGGTCTTCAGTTGCCTGTACGGAACTGCAGGTCAACATTTATTCACCAGCCACTTCACATCACACTGAATAAGCTGCATTGTCGGCGAGACACAATATTTTCATTCAAGCAACTTGGCGCAGATGCCTGGAGTCTCTACCTAATATTTTTAGTTCTTTTTAACCTTTTTTTTTTTAATTTTATACTTTTTTTAAATAATTCCAACCCAGACTATGCCTTATTCTTGTTCAAATTATCCCCATTCAGAAGAGCTTGTGCTCAAGTGTCATATCAGACTCGGGCTGAAGACCAACACAGGCGCGGAAGATGTTGGTCAGTGCGGCACGCTGCTTAGCAAGAGCGTTGACAACAGGGGTGCCGGGAGGAGTCAGAGGAGCCTTGAGCATGTAGCTGAGGACGCTGAGGACGCTGTGGAAGTTCTTGTAGCCGTCCTCGGACGTGGAATCCTTCCACTGGATACGGGTCATCATCTCAGCAATGACAACAAGATCAATGATGAGAGGAGAGGCAAGCAGGGAGTCTTCGCAAATGTTGAACAGGCTGCGACGATGTTAGCTCTCAACCCTTACCGTAACACACGTGTCATTACTTACGAAATAGTCTGGTGACCGCCGAGGAAGATCTCTGCGTAGTACTCATCAAGAGCACGCTTGTTGTCGGCGACAGCAGGCATATACTTGATAACAACGCAGTGGTCAGGGTGCTCTCCCTTCTTGTACAGAACGGTGTTGGCCTCGACCATGTCGTCAACCACATTGGACTTGGAAATCTCCTTGGAGCGGAACTGCTTCTGGGAGCTCAAGTTCTTGCCATCGTTGTTACCCAGGTGGTTGTAGCTGGCAATAGAAGTCAACTTGATACCAGCGTTGATGAGGAAGTCGACAAGGGCAGACTTCATCTTGGTCTGGCCAGACTTGAAGTCATCACCACCAATGAATGCATTGTGCTTCTCGGCCAGCTGGATGGCGCCAGGCACAAAGGTGTTCTGAGGAGAGCCGTTGATGAAAGGGGTTCCCTCAAGGATACAGGCGACAGCAAAGACGGTGGAGGGGGAAACTTCCTCATGCCCTTGCTCAATGGACTTGAGGAGGTTGTCGGCAGTGTCATTGACACCAGGGATGATGTCGGCATATCGCTCAGTGTTGGCAGTCCACATAACAATCACCTTGTCCAGGTTGTTCTTGGCCTTGAAGTCGCGGATATCCTGGCGGAGCTTCTCAACGTGGGCATTGCAAGCCTTGGTGCCCTCGAGAACATTGTCGGCACGGTCTTCCTGATTGGCAGCAATGAAGTCGGGATAGTAGATGGAAGGGAGGGGGACCATCTCATTCATCTCCTTCTTGACAAGAGACTTCAAGGTGGGCTCAAGGACCTGGGCGCGGTCCATGGCCTGAGCCAGGTTCATCTTGCTGATGTCCCAGCCGCCAATAACAAGGTCATTTGGGTGCACCATGGGCAGAACATTGTGGAAGGGGATGTTGATGTCGGCATTGGTCTTGGCATCAGAACCGAGCTTCATGGTGGAAGCCATGACGACAGAGCCGTAGTAGTTGGCCTCACGGGGACCTTCCTTGGTCTCCCAGACGAGATTACGGCGGTTGGCGAGAATACCAGCAGTGACAGTGGTGCCATTGTTGCCGCCCCAGCCGACCAACATCATGCCGACCTTGGGAACCTTGCGGTCGACCTTGAAATCATACTGCGTCTCCTTGGGAGTAGCAACAAAGTTGCCATTGCGGTCAGTCTCGACGCTAGTGGTACGGTAGGTGTACTTGGACTTGATCTCGGCGTCAGTGTAGGTAACATTGGGTGAGTTGACGACAAAGGTGTTGGGAGAAGTAGTGGCGGTGCCATTGAGAGCCGCCCCGTTCGCGGAGCCCGTGGTAACTTGCGCGTGGGGAGCCATGTTGACAAGTGATATTGGCGCGAAAGTAGATGGTTCGTAAGACTGTAAATTTGGGGATGCTTGGATGTCAAGCTTCTGCCTTTACTGGGTCTGGGCTGAGTCCGATGCTCCTCCAGAATCGGCTGAGCAACGGGCTCCTGCGAACGGGTGGTGAATCCTGTTTGCACGGGTTAGCATGGCGGCCTATACAGGTGGTGGCAGGATGCGAAGTGAAAAGGTCGACGTACGAGTTGAGGAGATTGGCAAACGTCTTGACGACTGTGTGATCGAGGTTCAATGCCTCGATCTGTTGAGATTTGAGTGGTTTGGTTGGTGGGGTCGGTTTCTTCGTAGTAATTTTTCTTTTTTTTTTTTCGTGGCTCAACGGAACCAGAAGTGGAATGTACCGCGAAGATTCTGTAAAGAGACAGAAAGATCGGGCAAAGACGAGGTTTGGTTTGGCGTATTTGTGTGAAGCAGAATGGAATTGAGGTGGTTGAAGAGGGAAGGAAGGAAAGGAGGCGGGAAGCAGACGTGGGCGACAAGAGGATGTGGACCTGATATAGTGGACGACGGCGCGGCGATTCTCGTGGAGCCCCGCGGTTGTCACTCCATGCCTGTTTGGTGGTCTCGCACACGTGGACGCTGGGCGGACCAGACCGGAGCTTGAGGGCGGTGAGGGGCTCAACTGCTGGAGCTCGACTGCCATCGGATGATGCGGGACAGACACAAACAGGCACACGACCATCAAGCGCCAACGAGTAACTCGGCGTCGTGGACAATTGGCTCCCAGAAAGGCCGCGGCGGGGGTTTTCGGTGATCGACAGCCACAGGGCATGGGCATCACCGCCGTTTCCGTCCATCACACATTGATCTTGACACAACCCGCTGGCTGTACATGCATGTTGTCCTACAAGAGTTGCGCATGGCGGGGCGGCACGAGGGGCACACAATGGAGCCACGGAGAACTATCAACCAGGGGGGATATCATCGGACTTTGACATAAAAACCCGCCATTCTGCAGCCACAGGCACGGGAAACGTCAAACTGGGACGTGATGGCGAAAATTTAGGAAAACCGCTCAATCGAGACGCTGTCCTCAAGTCGTCAGTGGGCCAATACCGACGCCACCACACTACTAGGTAATAGCTAATCGCCCAGGTCCTTTTCCCAGCATCAGCCAAACCATGTTATCGTACGGAGTAAAGAGTACGCTATCCCGTCTCTAGTTACCTGGGTACGTAGATAACTATGTGCCCTGATAATGCACAGCATCTTTGTATGGGTGGGCGCCAAGGCCTGCCCAACTGCGACTGCCTGCGTTTGTTGAGACAATTGGGACTTTGTGCAAGAGAAAGCGTTACCATGGGTCTCGACTTTCTTTTGGGCGCCCATGACGTGCCCGCCGTGGCTGGGCTGTATATCAGGATTTGACAATGGAGGCTGGTACTCTGTACTCAAAAACATGTACGCCAAACTCACTAAACCTTCTGGCACCATGTGCAAACTTGATTCAGAGAAGAATAAAAGTACGGAGTAACTGCCAGCGGTATTGTGACGCAGGCAACCATACAATTAAAATTTAACCAGGCACATCGAGCGCTCGAGGATACCCTACACCCAGCGCGATGTAGACTTTGTAGGACCTGGCGTGGTAGAAAAATGTGGCCGTGCCGCTCATACGGCGGTCAAAAGGCCACATCTGACAAGTATAAGAGTCCCCAGTTACTGACTGGGTGATATCGGCTTCATGTGGATGAGTGATCTGATTCATAAAACTCTCAATCCCCACGTTGGGCGAGGCTTCGCAACTGGTTGATCGAATGGGCGTCGGCGCGATCGGAATGAGGGCGGTCGGTTCTGGGGTGCCCTAGAACATCCATTCTCGCTTAACGTGGTGATTCCGACCTAGCTCTTCGGAACATAATGAGGTTAATGTTAAAGCGTGGCAATGAGCGTGCTGTGTTGGTACCGGGGCCTGGCCTGGCAGGGCAGGGCATTAGCCATAACTCACATCGAACCAAGACAAATCTGCAATCGTTGTCTGTGTTGAGTTGTGCTGTTTTTGTTTCCTAGGGCGAGCCTGTGTTTTTTTACTCTTGGCTCTTCTTGGGCAGATGCTTCGTGCTTGGACCAGAACACCGACGACCAAAAAACAATTCAAGTCAATTTCTTTCCATGACTTCAAACCGTCAGGGCTATTTCATTTCACACGGCTCGACTTGTAACTACGGCGCATCTACCCCGTACTCTGTACTGGTTTTGCGCTGTTCAATCATCACGCACAATAATCTCAGATGACATTCCACACCAGCTTGTCACGCGAGGACCACGTTATATCATGGAGTGCCAAGTTTTGTCATGTTCGGGCGTAGTAAGCCAATTTTGGCGGACAAGCTTTTTGCCCAGAGCCGGCGCATTGTGACCTTTGCTGGCTGCCCGTCCTGAAGCCTGGTTCAATGCAAAATAATGATCAACCCGTCACGAAATGGACGGCTGGGATTAAGCAAGGATTTGAGTACTATCAGCATCTTGGCGAGCTACCTGGGTGGCCAAATCGGGTATGGTGTTTGTTGTTGACTGTGTATTCAGCCAAGAGGCAGAACTAAGATGATTATATTCATTGGTGCCAAGTTGTGCGTGTCCTTCTTCCGTCATCACGGGGGTTTGCAGCTTGGACCGCTTCTTACTTGACAAGCGGACTGTTTCGCACTGATCATGTAGTGTATGGCCTGTGCCTCCGGTGTGGAATGTCAGTGGAAGGGCAGAAGCAGTGACAAACAGGGTTTGGTCGTGTGCAGAGCATGTATCGTATTGCGTGATGCGGGAAAGGAAGAGTGATGGTAGAACAGGGAATGGTCTCTTATATATTGGCCCTTGAACCTCATCCCCTTTCGGGAAGGGTTGAGTGAACCGTGGACTTCAGTCGATTCAGAGGTCGGGTAGCTCTCCTCCTTGCGGTTCAAGAGTCAAGAGCATTGGCCCTGAGACGGACCAGGAATGTTCTTCTTTTGGATGTGGCCTAGGTCCACGGCAGGGCTTGTGCAAGGTACCCGGATGACGCTCTGCGTCTGGACGGTCGGAGCGCACCACGGTTGACAATTTGGGCAACGGCAGACCTGTGACACTCATCCACGCTCAAATGAGCTGTGGATGCATCTCATATCCACTCTGGCGGGTGAAAATGACGCTGTGGACACCAGCCCGAGTTTGGCGTAGCCACTGAATGCTTGATCAGGGTAAAGGGTGTTTTAAGTTGATAAAATATGGAGTACTCCGTAAAGCAGAGCCATGGAGAAGAAGCAACCTCTTCCTGCGTCGACACTAATGTTGGGCGTGTTCTCGTACGATTGGCGAGTAAGGCGTATATACCAAGCCCCAAGCAATGAACCAATGGTGCAGAGCTGGTGGTTTATGCGTGGCGATATCGCGGCGAGACGGCGGGAAACTATTGGAAGACCATATCAGAGTGCGGATACTCCGTACGGAGTAGGGGTACCAGATTGTATGGCCAAGTGTCCTGCGTTTCACCCTCAGCTTTGACTCGGCACTCGATGGACTGTGGATCGGGACTTGGAATAATTGTCCGAAGCAGGGCCAAAGGAAAGGGGAAAAAAAAAAATAAGACCATATTGACACAGAAGCAGTAAATTGTGTAGCTAATGAGCAAATTCGGGGCGAAGCTCCAGGGAGCCCTCTAGTGAAGGGTCAGAAAAGCTCAAGGGCCGAAGGGGGCTTTCCAACCCTTGGCTGTCATGGTTGCCAACGTCAAGGGCCAACGTCGATCCTCCTTGCTTGCCACCAACCTGCCCTGAAGATGTTCCCCGGTTTCGGGTCGCCTGTCCAGAACCATTCACAGCGTCTCCCTGGCTTCGCATCCGCCCTGAAGGGCAATTTGTGGCGGTCGTTTGAATTCAATAGAGCTTTATCGCATAGCAACCAAAGTCCTGACCCATTTTGTGTGATTGATAATGGACCCATCCTGTGCTCACTTGGTCGTGTATCAGGTGTCGCTCATCGACTTGGTGGCTCTTCGTCCACCGGAGCCGAACGTGCAGAAAGTTTTATTAGGGGAACCATTTCCCGTACGGAGCATCGACGGGAGAACCGACTTCACCTCGACTTCACCCGGACCCTTGAGAATACGAGGCGAAGGATTACTCATTTTTTCTTTCTTTCTTCTTTTTTTGGTTTTTGCCGTAATTTGTCCCACTGAAAACTTCTCTCTCTCTTTTCTCTCCTTTTTGGCCAGGGTCCAGTCTCACGGTAGGCACCTTGTCGCATGTTTACTAGGTTCATGTTGTGCCTTCCCAATACGAGTGTGTCTCCGCACAAGCCAAACCATCGCCGCCGGCACAGAACTACTCGAACCGTCCCCACCGCCATCACCGTCTTAGCCTAAGAAGCCTGAAGAAGCCGGAGAAGTCGCGTTTGTGTTCGGGACTCGATCTGAACACCTACCTGCACGAACTGGTTGGCGCCACTCGAGGCCGACGTTGCAGGCCTGTGCAAGCCCGTCACTCAAGGTGATTAGAGCCGGTATTAAAAGAGAACAGGCGAAGCCGCCGGATCAGGGGTCGGCCAGGGTTCCACTACTTTGAATACATACCTCGACAAGACTCGAGACACATCGTGCATCACCTCCCAGTTGCTGACCATCTCTAAAACATCGTCCATCACATTGCACCGTCATTGCACATTCTTCCATTTCTGCTTCCATGAGCTCGCTGTTTCACCCATCGCCTCTACTTTGTCGGAATCAACAAATCCCGTTGCTCGGTACTGAATAAGCAGAGACGCACATCCCGCTGCCTGTAGGAAACATCGACAACTTGACCATTGAAACATAGTGACTTGCTTGCAAACAAGGTCTCCGCCAGTTCTGTTGCATGAACAGCGTCAGCCTCTGTGTTTCGACTTCGCCTCGTCCTTATACCTAGTCAGTACTGATTCAATCGACGTCGTGTTGTTGGCACACCTGGCTACGGTAGAGGCAACCTGTGTCAGTGAGACACGACAGGGAGACCGAATCAGCCCTCTCCTGCCTTCGCAAATCTTTTCTTTCTCGTACATGAAGCAAGCTTCGCTGGAAAGATAGTTCTCCTTCCCTCCCTTCCTCCGGCTGCCGACAACTGCCGTGTTCTCGCCAGATATCGAATGCGTGTTTGGCGTGTTGGTTTCTCCGAGAACGACTTCAAGAGGGATAGCAGCAACTACTTGGGGCTCCGAACCCGTTAACCACCATGGCGCTGCCAAGGGAATCAACATTTTTGCCGACAATAAAATGTTCATTATGTGGTAATCAGGTGGAAATTTCCATGATGGGAGACCATCTCTGTGCTGGTCCAACAGCAGAATGTATGTTATATCGCGTTTTCTCCGTCAGCGCAACTCTGGGCTAATCACGAGGCAGTGTCACCACCTCTGGATTCAAATGATGAATTTGAGAGCCAATTCACCAAGCCACCTTATCCCAAACATGGCACACCACCTCCCGTAGAAACAGGTTCAATGGGTAAGTCGCTCGGGTTGCTTTCTGCTAGCCTGAAAAAACCACTGACTGGTTGCCAGGCCAAACATACATGCATCGTGGTCAATTGACCCCTGTAAGTCTGCCAAGTGAATCGCGGGATGCGTCCCCAATATATCCCAATAGGCACGAGAGTTCACGCAAGGCCCATGACTCCTTCGGCTTTAGGAAACCTATTGATGCCAGGTGGGAGACACCACTGTCTGCCAACCCAGCTACACGATCGGGAGGGTATGGTGGATTCGAGGAAACAAACAGAGAAAACTTTGATAAGCCGTTAAGCGGAGGATTTATGACCAAGATGAATACCTATGTTCCAGGCCCGTTTGATCCTATGAGAGAATTATTAACAGCCAAGAACCCATATCCTCAACGGAAGGACTCACTGGAAAAATTGGCTCCTTCAGAAGAACCGCTGCCGCCGAGACTGCCCCGAAAGGATGGATATGGAGGATTTGGACCCCCAAAGAATCCAGACTCGAATGGTTCGGCGACGCTTAGCCGGTCTGAAACGTATCCCAAGCTTTCTCCAACAACAAATCACTTCCAGACACAGCGGGTAACTTCAGCGCCAGGGTCTCGTTCCGAGCGCTTACGCACTGAAGGAGGCCATGGGCACGAGTACAAGAGGTCGATAGGCCCAGATACCTCACGCAAGCCTCCTCCTCGCACAAGCTTGCTGCCAGAACACAGTCTGAGAAACACGAGCTCGGTTGATCTGGCCGCAGAATTTGGAATTGGGAATCCATACCATACACCGTCCGTTTCAGCATCATCCGGATATTCTGACTCTAGCCGTGCAAGCCGAAGCACTGCACTAACGAGTCCAACTAGCTCAGAAACCTATCAAGCTGACCAAAGCCGCGACATGAATGAAGCTGTTTTCTCAACGGACAAGCTGAAGCCCGAAGACTTGCGCATCGATCCATCTGCACCGGCTTCACAGAGATTTTCTTCGCGAATGGTCGAGTCCCCGTATGGTGTCTCCCCTAGAAGCGCCCGGTTTGACGGTGCGTCCGGGGACAGCCCACGACGACCTCATTCTAGAAGAGGATATAGTACCTCTCCGCCTCAAGATAGCAATTACGCCCCAGCGGGGTTTAGAAACGACCATGGACCAACGGAAACTACTTCTCCGCAACGGCAGCATACTTGGGAACGACAGGATATGCCCAACAGGCTGGCGCTTCCATCTCGAGGTGACTGCAAAGCCTGTGGACTAGCCATTAGGGGCAAGAGCATTTCCTCGGCAGACGGTAGACTAACTGGCAAGTATCACAAGGCTTGCTTTGTTTGCACCACTTGTACCGAGCCATTTTCGTCGTCCGTCTTTTACGTTCTCGACGACAAACCCTATTGCGAGCAGCACTACCACGAACTCAACGGCAGTCTCTGTGGCGATTGCGGACGTGGTATTGAAGGACAATACCTTGAGGATGAGGCGAGGGTCAAATATCACGTCGGCTGTTTTCGATGTTTGGACTGCGGCGTATCTCTGTCGGAAGGATACTTCGAGGTTGACGGCCACTCTTATTGTGAGCGAGATGCGTGGAAACGTGTACAACCAGCGGTGTCTTCAGAGCCAGAGCCATATCAACGCGGACCACCCCGTGGTGCCGTTGGCACTCGAGCTCCACAAGGACTCCCTGCACGTCCAGCACCTCGTCTTGGTCAAGGAGGAAGACCTTATCCACCTCCGCCCAACGGTATTCCGAATGGAGGACGTCTCGGGGTCGGTGCAGGTCAACAGTTCAGAATGAACAAGCGCATGACGCGCTTAGGCAACACGAACATGTGAAGACACATGAATTGATTTATTAGGCGACTTTGGTCAATAACTGACCTGCCATGAGACCTATGATTCGTCATGAACATATCATCACTTATTAGTTTATAATCTGTTCGGCTTTTTCACAGCAAAGAGCCGTACCGCTTCTGGGGTCATCGTCAATGTTGTTCTTTGCAATGTATCATTGTAATATTTTCGGGCATTAATTCCGAGTTATCGATCTAGTCGCATTTTATATGTCCTCCTTGCAGGAACCGGTATGTCCTTGCAGGATTTGTTTGGATAAATTGCGATATTTTGGAATAAAGGAACCAACTGGGAGGCCGAAGGGTATCGGTCCACAAATCTTGGTAACATTTGGACAAGGATTCTGGATAAAGGAAGCGGTGTTTATGTGTACTTCAATTTTCTTTTCTTTTTTTTTCTTTTGGGGGGGGGGGGGGGGTGGGGGGGGG